TATGAGACGAATCATTAATTTATTATTAACCAAGAGGTTCAACAATCAATATGATTGTTGAGATGAATTATTCCTATCGAAGGAATCCGATGTGATGTTCGTGCTGTAGTGTTATTATATGTACATTGCGTGCATTGACTTTTGTGCTTGATAGTATGTCTTGATCTGTGACTGTTCAAAACTTATGAAGTTTATTTTTATTTTTATATTATTTATAAAATATTATTTTAATATCTAACTCGTAAAATCTTGAGTTTATGCTTCGACAGAGTAGAATCTAATGTTTATACTTTTGCAAAATAGTGATGATAGTTTATGTGCATGATTGATTGTTTGTTCAGTAGAAACTAAAGAATTGAACTGGTCGACCAGTCGGATAATTTTAATGGGGAGAATATGAGGAAAGCACATAGGGAGCCCCTTTTTATGGTGACTATGAGGATCATTACAATCAGGATTATCAATGAACATGAGATGATTATACATCATTCTTGAGCTAAATTGAGAGAAATACATTATTTATCTCGAATTCAACCCAAACTAAAAATATATGACGCTAATTACATGCGATCATCATTGGCCTTGGACGATCAACATATTGATTATATAGTGTTGGTGTGCTACTCAGATTACCTATCGATTAGGTGCGATTGATATAGTCACGATAAGTCAAACGTGTTAACCATATGCTGCTACCATGCTATCGAACCAGTCGATGTATCAACCACATAGTGATAACATTTCTGTCATATCATTGATCACGTATGACAAAAATTAATCACAAGATCAAATGACATATGTAGATAATCTCATAACCCAAACTTTTGAATTGGATTGATGTTCAATTTGCATGTATAATAATAACCTAATTTCGTACTACAAATATGATCAAACACAATAGAATCAACCTTTCCAATTACTAAATAAATATCAAATCATTCATGAGTATTTTTACTTGGTCCGACGACCAGTCGTCACCTTCCAAATACTAAATTATTCATGAGGTATTTTGCCTGGTCCAGCTACCAGTCAACATCCTTTGTCACATTCTGCACTTTGGTATCTTATCTACCTTAGATATCATGTCAATATGATTATAAAAAGGACAGGAAAGTTAAAAAGGAAGAGATCTCTTCTATAGTATAGTATGGATTCTAGAAAGTGATACCTCAATTGTCTTTGCCTTCGCCTTCGGGTTCCTACAACAAATGCATTTACATGGGTTTTGAAGCAATTTATAGAATCCATATATTTCTAACCTTTTTTTATTTGAAAAAATAGGTATCTTCCAATCAAGTGCAATTACAATAGCATGAAAGAAACTAATTTTGTATTGCTAAAGATTGAAAGAAAATTGTAGAGCTACATGTATGAGTTTATGTTATTAATTTGTTGTAATGTCCAATCATTATTTATTCTAATCCTTGCACAATTTAATTCAAACTTGACTATAATAATAACTATAAAAATAAAATTATAAATTTTAATTATTGAGTCCTTTAAAAATTTATATAATTAGTTAAGTTGAGATTACTTAGATCTTATTTATATTTCCTTCTAAAGTCTTTTTCGGGTCTCACTTTACCTCTCATTTAATTATTTCATCTCTTCAAACTATTTTATCTATATATCTTTTCATTCGTTATAAGAGCATATAATATGATATAATTTTACTTATCAATGATTAAGCGCAAGAGCAAAAACAAAATCTTTATGTCATTTCACTTAACACATTAAAATGTACCAACATGTCACATGAAATAATAATAATAATAATTATTCAGGAAAGTAAATAATGCAATTGAGGTAACTACTGCCAGATGATAATGAGGAAAGGCTGAACATTTAAGTGTAGTTGGTTGGACATTTTTCCTACAAGCACATGACATGCCTCACCAAAAAAATATGGCACCAACTTACTTGTTTTGTGTTCATGGATGTCCTCATGTACCCATGCATTGGTTTGTCTTCTGCCTCTCTTGTTCTACTGAGTTTGGAGCCATGGATTCTGCACTGGTGCTCTGTGGAGAGTGGAGGAAGGAGGATTGGATGCTTGAAGAGGTGATGCTGCTCTGTCTTGCCTTTGTAAGTTCATAATCTGTATCATCTGCCATGGAAGCTACAAAACCACCTCTCTCTTTTTTTTTTTTACTAAAAAGAAATGAATTATTATGAAGACACAAATCATAATGTTCTTCAGAAATTTCTCTTGGTGGTACAACTATTATCATTTTTTAATGAGAAAATGCATCTCCCCACATCATTATCTTTTCTCCTGCCCACAGTTTCTGAAAGTGGCATCCCATTGAGTATAAATCAACAACTAGTCATATATATGTAGCTGGTGATCAACTACCAGAACCTGAACAATCGAAAGAAGCACAGGTATCAACAGTTGTCAGCACATCTGTCATATAAACATCATCAATTTGGTTCAGTGGGTGCAGAGTACAATGTTTGCTCTCAACGTTCCAGCTCTAGAAAGCTAGAAGAGTGGTGTACAGAGATCAGTAAGCAGGCCTCACTTATCCTCTCTTTGGGGTTCATGTGCAGGTGTCAGAGTGGGAGCAAGTTTCAAGATCTAAACAGTGGTGAGCAAGTTTCAGGCTTTCTTACTCTGTTTCCTTCTTCTTGTCATTTTAATTGCATTAAAATGGTTTTTGATGGTAAATACCAGTTTTCTTGAGACAACCCATATCCTATTCCAAGAATATATCACTAAATATGTTGTATGTATTCTTCCAAAATGAGTGATTTTTTATATTTCTCTCTTTAAATTTTAGTTTAGCATATATATGATCTATCATATGGTATTATAATGTTCTTTTGGGCAATCATTGTGTGGGTGTAATGGCACATGATTTCCATCTCACTTTCAAATGCTTCCAAAAGCTTGGTGAAGGTGAAGACATTCCCCCAGCTTACGAGGAATCGATACATCGACAGAAAGATTGTACTTCTCGGAATCCATGGGGGCAAAAGAACAGCAACAAAGAAACAAAATCCATCAGAGAAGCGGAGAAACCAAACCAACCCCACCCTGTCAGTCAACATCTTCTTCGAACTCTAGCATTTGAGCTTACTTTGTCCTCGGTTTGTTCTCCTTTTGTCGCCGTCGTTGCCGTCTCCTGATCGAACTCGGTAGTTGTTTTTATCTGAGAAGTAGACAGTATAATTGTTCATTCGTCCAAGAACTTGATCACCGATCCTATATTATGATCTCGGCAACCGAAGCTATAAGAACCTGTACGTAGATGTTCTCTAATCTTGTAGTTGGCATTCGCCGTTCCTGTGTATGTTATCATGTGGCAGATGAAGCCTTCCTGTATCGCCAACCTAATCCTCACGAAGGGGTTCATCTCTGCGTCTTCCACCGCCACTGATTCCATGCATCGGTACGTGTACGATTGCTCACTTCTTCTCTTAGTTCTAAAGATGATACGAGGGGTTGTCGCCCTTGGCGCAGGGATGACGCAGGTAGAAGACGACCTCAAAGGTTCAAGGTGGACAAGTACAAGGTTCTGTTTTCGGAGAGGGGATCAGGTTGCAAGCTTGAGTTGTTGAAGCTTGCCCTGTTCATCCTTGTGTTCTGCATGGGGTTGACGCTTGCTTTCTCGCCCACGATCCACAAGGAGCAACAGCTGCTGCCCTCTGTTTCCAGGTACAGTTTTCGTCGGTTGGAAGCGTGCTTTGATGATTCAAGTACATTTGATTCTGAATTCAAGACTCGTAGGTCTCGATTGGCAGATGCTGCACGGATTCGGCAGACGACGCTTTCAGATCCTCGATACGTATCGAATTTGGATGTCGATTGGGGTCGATTGTCCGATATTGTTAAGGATATAAGCACTAAGGAAGGAGATCTCAACGTTGGCCTACTAAACTTCAACTTCTCTGAAGTCAGATCGTGGCAGCAAACAGTGCCACATGCAAAGCTCTCATCGGTGCATCTGAATTCTGCTGATACGAGCATCACTTGGGAGGTTCTCTATCCGGAGTGGATCGACGAGGAAGAAGAGTATGAAGTGCCTGCTTGTCCTTCTCTCCCTCGTCCCCAGGTCAAGAAAGGATCAAGATTCGATCTTGTTGCAGTCAAGCTGCCCTGTGATAGATCAGGCAGCTGGTCCAGGGATGTGGCGAGGTTGCACCTGCAGCTCGCTGCCGCCCAACTCGCTGCAGCTTCGCAGGTCCATGTCCTGCTAGTGACCGAGTGTCTGCCTATTCCAAACCTCTTCACCTGCAAAGATCTCGTCGGACATGGAGGAAATCTTTGGCTGTACAAGCCTGACTCGACGGTATTGGAGGAGAAGCTTCGTCTTCCTATTGGGTCATGCAAACTCGCGATCCCCTTCGAAGCAAAAGGTCAGCCTCCATGGATGAGCAACAACAAGTAGTCATCCCTGTTTTGGCATGCAATCGCTTGCATTCATAAGCTGCTTTCGTGCACGCAGTGCGGTCGTACACGGAGGCAGGACGGCGAGAAGCATACGCCACGATACTGCACTCAGCAGAACGCTACGTCTGCGGCGCGATTGCAGCAGCCCGAAGCATCCGCTCGTCGGGGTCCGCAAGGGACCTCGTGATCTTGGTGGACGACACCATAAGCGAGCATGACCGCAGCGGCCTCGAAGCTGCGGGGTGGAAGGTCAGAACCATGGAGAGGATCCGCAACCCCAAGGCCAAGCGCGACGCCTACAACGAGTGGAACTACAGCAAGTTCCGGCTGTGGCAGCTCACGGAGTACGACAAGGTCGTCTTCCTCGACGCCGACCTCCTCGTGCTGAGGAACATCGATTTCCTGTTCGCGTTGCCTGAGATAACTGCGGTGGGGAACAACGCCGCCCTCTTCAACTCAGGCGTGATGGTGGTGGAGCCATCCAACTGCACATTCCAGCTGCTGATGGATCACATCGACGAGATAACGTCCTACAATGGCGGCGACCAGGGTTACCTGAATGAGATCTTCACATGGTGGCACCGCGTCCCCAAGAGCATGAACTTCTTGAAGCACTTCTGGGCTGGGAACACAGAGAGGAGGAGAGAGAAGAAGAACAGGTTGCTGGGAGCAGACCCACCGGCTCTCTACGTCGTTCACTACCTGGGGCTGAAGCCATGGCTGTGCTTCCGGGACTACGACTGTAACTGGGATCTGCGCACGTACTGGGGATTTGCCAGTGATGCAGCACACGAGACATGGTGGAAGGTGCATGATACCTTGACGGAGAAGCTGAAGGCCTTTTGTCTTCTAACAACCAAGACGAAGGCTTACTTGGAGTACAACAGGAGGCAGGCGGAGAAGGCGAGCTACCCTGACGGACACTGGAGGAAGAACATTACGGATCCAAGATTGCATGTCTGCGCAGAGAAGTTCTGCTCCTGGGAGAGCATGCTGGTGCATTGGGGTGAGAAGAACTCGTCCGATGATCGCCATACCAATGCGAATCCTTCTGCAGCTCTGCCTAGCTCGTAACGTTTAGGCGGAGGAGGAAGACGATTGCATCTGATAGACGATTCTTGTTCCGATTCATGTTCTTGCTTCCGAACCCCATAGATTTGCTTCATCTTACAAATGATTTCTCTCTCTCTCTCTCTTGTTGATGCATTTAGCTACAACAAAGTGCAAAATACGGGAGACGAAGCGAGTAGAGGTAGACACAGTGTTCGACTAAATCCATGAAATGTGTCCGTGCTCCCAAATCAGGTCACTGCATCACCATCCAAAAGACATGGGGAACTCCAACTCCTTTCCAAGAATTCTCGTTGTCGTTTCTGTCAGCAATCAATGACAACAAATTCCATTTCCTTTGGAAACCCATTAAATTCAGTGCCGGTGTGTGATTCCTCACAAGCTTACTCTGCACAATCCTTTTGCCTTTTTGCTTCCCACCCCCTCTCACGTGCTCAAAGTTAATGAGGTGAGATTTTGTCGGATCCATCTCGGAACTTGTCTTTCCTTAACCAGGAAAGGCTGGAATAAAGGGAAGGACTTGAGGCAGCACTTTTATCTGCATATCTCTCTCTCTCTCTCTCTCTCTCTCTCTCTCTCTCTCTCTCCGTTCCTCCGTAAAGTGTGATGCTCTCCACTGTTGATGACGCTGAACTATCATGTGAGGCTGCACCACGCTCAACAAACCGTCAAAACATAGGATTTTATAATATTTCTCTTTTTTATTCATATTTTAAATAAATTTATTCTTTTCATCATATCTTTATATATTATTTGAATCGAGTGATGTAACGAATGATAGTGATATTCGAATTAGTTCAAGATTATGCGCATAGAAAATTTGATATGATCAAGGAGATAGATCGGATGTCAGTTGAAAGATCGACTTATATAAGAATGGATAGGTACTCAGATATGATTCTTTTGATGCTTAAGTTAATTCTAAGATGAAGAATTAAATTATATATAAATAATAATTGATCTTAATAAAATAGAGTAATATATTTTTATGATAGGTTTGGCCCAAATAAATATTTCATAATATAAGTAAAATATATTTTTTAGATTCTTTATTATGACTTAGCTTAGGTGGCTATATTGTCGTCTAAGGTTTATTTCTACGTTGACTTTGTCACTATATCACTATATATCGAATAATGATTGAGATAAATATCTTTTCTATTATCGATTATAATTATATTCATTATTATATGCAAGAGAAGCGCATAGGCTACACATTCTTCGTGGGCGAGACTTAAAAGGCAAATGGTCTCCTGATAATATTGCTATTCTCTCTTCCTCTTTTTAAATCCAATTATTTCTCCCTTTTATTCATATTTTGATTTTATTAGTGCTTAGAATGTCTTTCAAGATTCTTTATGATCATGCATGTAGAAGGATCCTTCCTCATAGTGACTTCTGGATGGACACTTGCACGGGGATGAGGAATATACTTGAAAACAATTTTTGTATGTCTTTGTATTTTTTTTCCTAAACTCTCTATTTTATTTCATACATTATAACCTATTTTTAATTTAAACTAAGCTAGAATTTTCATTATTTTCTTCAAACAAAAACAACAACAAAGTGTTGTGATTTTTCTTTGAAGAGTGTGTATCCTATATTCATTGATGAATATTAAGGATGGATAGATCAGATGAACTGAGTGCATTCTAGCATAAACTTGAACTTTACTTGGTCACTTGGATAAATGATAAACAAAATCCTATAAATTAGAAAGAGTTCCAATTAACAGCTTCAAGAAAATCCCATAACCCATGAAGTATATAACTTACTTGCTACCATCTTAGAGAGAGGATCTTTAATAGAATTAAGATGAGAACTACACAAGTTCATCAAGAAATCCATGGAGTAACATGGACAATAAACATGAGATGTCAATTACCTAGTCTTTACACTAATTACCTGTTTCAGTATCAGTAAATATAGTTACATGATATCATTTCCTTTCAACAACAAGTTTCAGTAATCTTAGCCATAGAAATAGCCTCTTGTTTTCATCTTAATTAGGTATTATTATGATATTAGCTTGTAATCTATGAATTTTTTTTGCTACTTGATCTAATCTCTGGGCTGCAAAGAAGTTTTTCGGCACCTTGTTTATTGGAATGTAGCCATATAATCGACATGCAGTGAATTCTATTGTTCTCTGTCGACTTCAGCTTTTAATTAGGTCATTGAGAATATCGAAATTTATTTCTTACTCCTGATGGTGAATCTCAATCTATGATCTTAGGTGACACAAATGGGTGTCGTGTTGCTCTCTCAGTCATGAGTTGTTCCAACTTTAAATCCTAGACTTGAGCTTTCATCAACCAAATATAATGTCACCTTCTTATCGGCCTTCTCATTGTCGTCGAAGATTCATTTCGCTTAATGCTGTAACATGACACAATCAAAGGTTTAGATCATGCTTGGATTACATCAGGTTGATCATAGCGTTCTAAGTGTTACCTGAGAAGTTTATTCCCATAAGTTGACTTCCTGATCATGCATCATATCGTAATGCAGTAAGCACATTATCATAAATTGGCTTGAAACAATGAAATTGTTGATCAGTTGTGAAAGAAATTAGCTCATAAAAGCATTGTTCTACTAAATCTGTAATTAGTTCAGTGGTTCGTCAAATGGCTTGTGATGCTACTGTTGCTGCAATGGCATTAGAGACGACTGTCTCTGTTCATATTAATTTCCCTTCCAACTTTACTTGTACTTTCCATGTGCAGTAAAAATCTCATTGATTGTTGATTGAATGAGGGACTTTTTCTTCCACTGAGTGACTGCCTTCAATTAGACTCAGTACTTTATGTTTCATTGACACAGCAATCACAACAACTTCTCTTCTGAATTGACACACAGCGAAAATAAACAGGTAGATGAGATGTCATTTTTGTCTCGATCTTTTTGTGACGAAATAAAAGACCAGGACCGTTCAAAAATAATTATAATTATCCTTTTTTCTTCGAGAGATCATTGTTCCTCGATGTGATCTGAAAGGTGGTATTCTCTTCGTAAAGAGAGAGCGTTTCAGCAGCATGAATGGACAAGAAGAATGGAAAAGGCATGACATGTGACACAGTGCAGAAGGTTTAGTTTGGATCCAAGGAAGCCTTGGAATTCAATGCTTGCGTTCGTCACTCGTTAAGAGAAGAGTCGTCTGTGTGCGTGTGTGTGTGTGCTTGAGAGAGAGAGAGAGAGAAACCCTAGGGATGTGGAAAAGCCTGCGAGCTTTCACGAGGAGCACAGCTGTACCATCGATCATTTGGTGGCTTCCCTATCTCGCTCTACCGCTCCATTATTTTATTGCCCTCACTACATCCAATTCAGCAAACAAGAAACAAAACATGTCCCACATCCTATGGCAAAAAGCTCTACAGAAGTCTCAGTGCATTAAATCCCTTCCCTCCTATCTTCCCCTACCCTTCCCTCGCACCCAATAAATTTGGTCTATAGCTCCTTTGGGTTATATAAGGTCCACTTTGTTAGGTTTCTTGGATCAACAGCGGTGTCCTCAATCTCCATATATTCTCTCCTTTCTCCCCCCCTCCCTCTCCTCCTACTCACATCTCTTTCTTGGCACAAGACCAATGCCATCGACTGTTCTTTATGGAGAATAACATTAGCAGCAACAATGGTGGCTCTTGGGATCTTGAGGTGAGCATGGGGAGTCAATTCCCCTTTGATCACACCCCTTTGGAATTGTTTCAGACTGCTGACCCATTCCAGCCCCACGTCAATTCTCCGAGCTTTGCTAACACCCATGCCAGCGTCCAAGGAGGGAGGGAAGGGGAGCAGGAAGAGGAAGAGGAAGCTCTGGGGGCCATGAAGGAGATGATGTACAGGATCGCCGCCATGCAGCCGGTGGACATCGACCCCTCCACCATAAAGAAGCCCATGCGGCGCAACGTGCGGATCAGCGACGACCCGCAGAGCGTGGCGGCGAGGCACCGGCGCGAGCGGATCAGCGAGAGGATCCGCATCCTCCAGCGGCTCGTCCCGGGGGGCACCAAGATGGACACCGCCTCCATGCTCGACGAGGCCATTCGGTACGTCAAGTTCCTCAAGAGGCAGGTGCATGATCTGCAGTCCAACCCTCAGCCACCAGCAGCGCAGATCGGGGTGGTCGACGGGACCGTCGTCGGAGCCGTGGAGTGGCCCGCGACGGCTGAGGCTCGTGCCTCTTCTTCGCCCTCCTCCTCCTCCTCCGCCATGAGAGCTCCACTGGGACTAGGGTTCGGCTTCGGTGAGCAGGGTGCCCACCAGCCCAGGCACTAAGCTTCGAGAGGTCAGTACGAAGCCTGGATGGAAACGATTGATAGCTGGTAATTTAGCTCATAATTCCCTGCAATGTTGTAGTCGAGGTGCAATCCAAACAACGTAGCATATAAACAAGGTGGTAGCTTGGAAGGTGTACATAGAACTTCTATTTGATCATAGTTTGCTTCTGCGTGCTCTCCTTCTTTTACATTCTGCTCTTCTTCATGTGTGTTACAGTCTGGTTGATGGTCTCATGATAACACTGGCCTTTGGCTCACGTCAGTGTATGACTGCTTCGATGTGCAAGCCATAAGAATATATATATATATATATATATATATATATATATATATATATATATATATATGCTCACATATATGTATGATCATCTGCATTGTTTGATGTTACAACTAATGATTGCTATGTTGGACGTTAGTTGAGGAGTGTTTCTTCCTCGGGAAAGAAGAGAAGAAGAAAAGAACAAAATGTTTCTCAAATTGACGCATTACACGTACATGTAAGAAGAAATCTACGTACACTAAGTGTTCGACAAGAGAAGATATCATATGCATGAGAATCATATGTATAACGAGACGGAAACAAATGAGTCACCCTTTGTCTTTTTACCAAAGGAAACTTGCATGGGAACTTGAAACCCTACACCAACAGTGATTCTGATATTATATATTAGTATGGATATTCTGTAGATAGTTCTTCACATGCACTCACTAGCAGAGAGAGAAGGTGATCCAAGACATTGCAGATGATGCCGTTTGTCTCGGGCACACACAGGCATACAATACGTCGGCAATGCTGGACAGTGAAGGACGTCAAATGACAACGATGATACGTATGGCACAGCATCGAGCTCAGCACAGCCTCAGCCAACGGTGCAATAAAGTATGTGCACTCCTTGGAGCCGACGCTGTTGAAATGACAGAAAGTTAGAAGGTTTAAAGGTCACAAAGAGAAAAGAAGGGGAAGGCAGCAGAACTCGAAAGCGTCTCGTCCAACGACGGCTGTTGAAATGGTCAACGTTTGTCAGCAGCTGATGCTGGAGATGATATGAAGCAGCAAAGGTCAACTGAGAATTTAATGTTCGTGGTTTTGTTCTGTAATGTGCTAAGCTAGATGGAATGTAATTGAAATATAGTATAGATAACATTTTTTATGAGGCAATCAATCTCTGTAGATGCCGATGATGAGAAACTGATGAAGAACTATAAATATGAGATCTTTCATATGCTTTCATCCTTTTTCTCTCTTCTTTTTCAAGTCAAGTATGAGGTTGGAAGAATTAATGTCAGCTTACAGCCATCACAGAGAATGAAATATGCATGCTTTGACAGCAGAGTTCATAGTTCATCTGGAAGTTTAGGGCACATGAGAAATATGGCATTGCAGCATGAAAGCATATGAAAGATCTCACATTTGCAGAAATTTCTTGAAGTGGATCGAAAGAACTTGTAGTGAAGAGGGCTACCGCAAGCAGAAGTTGATACATCAAAGCTCAGCTACATGAGTAACTTGAATTACTTATGCTTGACTGCTAGAACAGTATTATTTTACCTTGACTCAGCTCCAAGATAAAGACAGGAGGCATCCTCTGATGAGGCATAGAGCTCTGCTTTTGATACTTCGGGAGTTCTGACCAAAGTCTATCATTCATCTAAACTATTCCAGAGATGATGTGGTCAAGATTTGGAAGCTTTGTGCCTCATATATTTTATTGCCCATTCACCTTCTGCTCCCACTCGTCGATATCCTGACATGCACACAGCCGATGGTTCTTTTCCAGCTGCACCAGTGCCAGATCCATTGTTTCTTTAGCTGGTAGATTCCCCATTTTTGTCATAAAATAATTGACAGTGGACGCCAGAGACATACATATACTAATCTATCATACAAGCTTTCATTGGCTGTTCCAAAGCACCTACTCCTAAGTGGTATCTGGAAACAGGAGGCTTCATCTGTCCTTCGTTGTGGCTGCTTCCAACTCGTTTGATCATGGAAGTGTTGAAGATGATGATGATGATGATGTAACAGTAACATGGAATAGGGAGTTAGAAAATGCTCTGCTATGACCTTGAGCTGCACCAAGTTTTGATGGTTCTTTAATGGAAGAAGAGGGAAAAATTAGCCATTAAGGCAAATGATCAAACCAAAGACCTCCTCTTGACAGAATATTCTAACAAGGTAGGTCCTTGTCCTATTCCCCCAGACTGCATTTTGTTTGATGGTTTAACAGGCAGCAGGACCCAATCAATTCCCCCTCCTTCCATTCACCCTTGACCAACTCAAACCAGAAGCAATGGAATCAAGTGTCTGTAAGTGGTTTCTGGTTTCAAAGGGCACCATCTCGTGGTGCATCTTATTCTACTCTTCTCAATGGGACAAACTCGCAACCCCTACAATTCAAGCCATTGACTCTGTCTTAGAGAAGTAATATGGTCGATAAAAGCTAGTGGAAGAGCAGCGGATACAAACTCTGGTTTCATGCACAGGCCATGGTATTTGTGATTCCAGAGATGGTAAAGAAAAGCAATCGTTAAGTGCTATGTATTCCTCTGGCTATAAAAGGCTTGTCTGCACCTCCATTCCTCACCAAGTTAGCTAAAGAGAGAGAAAAGCTTGTGGGAAGTGATCGCCAAGTGTTGGAGAGAGATGGAGAGCACAGTTGGGCAGGTCATAAAATGCAGAGGTTCGTATCCTCTATTGAAGATACACCTTTCTTGTCTCTGTGCTGTCAGACACAACTCACGTTTCTTTTGTGTGTAGCTGCTGTTGCATGGGAGGCAGGGAAGCCATTGGTGATCGAAGAGGTGGAGGTGGCACCACCTCAGGCGATGGAGGTTCGATTGAAGATCCTGTACACATCACTCTGCCACACTGATGTTTACTTCTGGGAAGCCAAGGTAGGTGTATCTTGCAGATTCTCTTTCCAATGATCAAATACATCTCTTTTTCTTCGAATTTTCATATAAATTTGTCGTCTGAATTCTAATTGGCATTCTTTCATTTCTTGTAGGGTCAAAAACCAATCTTTCCAAGAATCTTGGGCCATGAGGCAGCAGGGTACTGCTACATTTCATCCCTTCTCTCTTTGTTTCTCAGCATCAATTACTTTCAGCACCATTTCACCTCAGCTTCCATGTGTTTGGTGATTAGGATCGTAGAGAGTGTTGGAGAGGGAGTGACGGATCTGGCACCAGGAGATCATGTCCTCCCGGTCTTCACAGGAGAATGCAAAGAATGTGCTCACTGCTTGTCCGAAGAGAGCAACATGTGCAACCTCCTGAGGATAAACACCGACAGGGGAGTGATGCTCAGCGATGGCCAGTCGAGGTTCACCATCAAAGGCAAGCCCATCAACCACTTTCTTGGCACCTCCACCTTCAGCGAGTACACCGTCGTCCACAGCGGCTGCGTCGCCAAGATCAATCCCTTGGCCCCCCTCGACAAAGTGTGCGTGCTCAGCTGCGGCTTCTCAACTGGTGAGACCACTTCCACTTCCAGTTTTAGTTCAATGCACTCACATGATCAATTCCTTGGATGATCATTCTTCTGCTCTTAGGCTTTGGTGCCACTGTCAATGTCGCCAAACCAACGAAGGGCTCGACGGTGGCAGTTTTCGGACTGGGTGCAGTAGGCCTTGCTGTGAGCTTCACTTTCTCCTCCTCTCTGTCCTATCTTGCTCGGCAGCTTCAACTTGCTGACACAAATTTGTATTGGTAGGCCGCGGAAGGTGCAAGAGTCTCAGGGGCTTCAAGGATCATTGGAGTTGATGTGAACCCCAAGAGATTTGAAGAAGGTAATGAATCAAATCAATCTCTCTCTCTCTCTCTCTCTAACTCGATCATGACTGCAAATTTTCATTCAATGGACTACTTGTTGCTCTGTTTTACCAGCCAAGAAGTTTGGAGTCAACGAATTCGTGAATCCAAAAGACTATGACAGACCTGTTCAGGAGGTTTGTGATCTTCTTAGCACTTCTTGCAGAGTATGAGCTTAAGGTACAATAGAGTTTGATTCTTTGCTCCAGGTGATTGCTGAAATGACCGGCGGTGGAGCCGACCGGAGCGTGGAGTGCACCGGGAACATCGACGCCATGATATCTGCGTTCGAGTGCGTTCATGATGTAAGAAGCTTTGAACTCTATGAGCTCATACCTGGAAGCACTCTGACATCGGTGCCTCTAACATTGCCCAGGGTTGGGGAGTGGCTGTGCTGGTTGGTGTGCCTCATAAAGACGCTGTCCTCAAGACTCATCCTGTTAATTTCTTGAACGAAAGGACCCTCAAGGGGACTTTCTTCGGGAACTACAAACCTCGATCTGATCTCCCCTCAGTGGTTGAGAGATACATGAACAAGGTAGGTACACTCGTTGCCGAAGCCTCACTCTTTCTCTCTATCACTCTAATGGTAATGGATTGAAGGAGCAACCGTTGGCTATGTTTGTATTGTGCAGGAGATAGAGTTGGAGAAGTTCATCACGCATGAAGTGACCTTCTCAGAGATCAACAAGGCATTCGACTACATGCTCCAAGGGGCCAGCCTCAGGTGCATCATCCGCATGGATGGCTGAGGCTTGTCCTCCTCCTTCCTCCAGGATGCAGCTACATACCGTAGAACCTCAATTACCTTGCCTTGACTTTGACTAAAATGGAGTGTATTTGTATTTCTGTAATTAATGCTTGCTGTAAATAATCCAAGATGCCCCTATAGCTCAGTGGTAGAGCGTCAGTCTTGTAAACTGAAGGTCTGTAGTTCGATCCTGCATGGGGGCATTGTTTATTTTGCCTTTTTTTGTTAATATTGAATAAATAAACATTGTTGTTTTCCTTCCTCCAACCTGCGTTTGTAATATGACACTTTATTCCTCTAATTCCTTAATTTCTAGGTACAATCTTTATTTACTTAAAATATTATTTCTAACTAAATTAAAAGATGAGAAAAAATTGTGTAATGATATTGTTTGTTGGTGCACAAATGTGTCGTGGTTGGTTCATACACTGGATGACGATTCCCGAGTTGAGACGGGTTATGGGCGACCGCCTTCCTGCAAAAATGGTCTATTATTCTCGACTTTGGTCCCTCCGACGAGCAAGTCAGTGGAGTGTTCAATTGATTTTTGTCTCTCCCTTCTTTTTTTTTTGGGCCAGATATCGGTTAGAGGTCTTTATATTATTGTACGTGTGTCGGTCGTACGCGGGTTGGCATGGCGGACATGCCAAATAGTGTCTTGGTACGGATTCTGACTTGGCGTGTCTTGGGGGCGTCGTCTTCTTAGGATTCTCGAGACGTGACGTGCCGAGCAGCGCCTTAGTACGGTCTCTGACTCGGTGTGTCTTGGTACGCATTTTGTTTTTTACCCTTTTTTATTAATATTAAATAAATAAACATTGTTGTTTTCCTTCCTCCAACCTGCATTTGTAATATGACACTTTATTCCTCTAATTCCTTCATTTGCAGGTACAATCATTATTTACTTAAAATATTATGTCAAACTAAATTAAAAGATGAGAGAAAATTGTGTAAGGATATTGTTTGTTGGTGAACAAATGTGTAGTGGTTGGTTCGTACACTGGATGACGATTCCCGAGTTGAGACGGGTTATGGGCGACCGCCTTCGTGCAAAAATGGTCTATGATTCTCGACTTTGGTCCCTCCAACGAGTAAGTTAGTGGAGTGTTCAATTGATTTTTGTCTCTCCCTTCTTTTTTTTTTTGGCCAGATATCGGTTAGAGGTCTTTATATTATTGTACGTGGATCGGTCATACGCGACATGGTGGACATGCCAAATAGTGTATTGGTACGGATTCTGACTTGGCGTGTCTTGGGGGCGTCGTCTTCTTGGGATTCCAGAGACGTGACGTGTCGAGCAGCGCCTTAGTACGGTCTCTGACTCAGTGTGTCTTGGGGGCGACGTCGTCCCGGGACGAGACATGCCAAGCAGTGCCTTAGCACGAATTCTGACCTGACGTGTGGTGTCGACTTTGACGTATCTTGGGCCCAAAATATACGATATTAGATATAATATATTATAAATATAAATTAGGTTCATGAATTTGTTGACTATTATCACTAAATGGAACTTAGCGATAATAGTGACTACTCCATATATAAAACCCCCACCGCCTTTCTATCATCTCTACTTGGGGGGCGTCATCCTACGCTTCCATTGGGTTCCCCCCAGGTGTGTGTTCGTAATTCTCAACCTTTCTGTCTTGCAATCGCCTTCTCATTTCCTCGATCGATCTGCGATCCGTGTCGTCTTCTCTCATTGCTTGTTACGATATTGGGCTTTGCCGAGTAATTTGGTCATCCGATCACGTAGATTGAAGTCGGCCGCTCTGATAATTTAGGGCTTATGTATTGATCACTAATTGGTGAGGTCTTTATGCGTCGATTGATTTAGAACGCTATGGAGATCATTTGTAGATCTCTGTTGGTTTGGCTGTAGCATCGATGTTCTAATGTCTTACATTTGTGAGCTACTCTGGTTTTACATTTCGCACTGCCGTACGCTTATTCGTCAACTCTGAGGTGTTTAGTATTGTTTGTGTTACTGAAGACATCAATTGAAGTCAGATGCTATCATCTCCTTGCAGTTGAAATTTTGTAATGCTTCCTCTGTCTCCTTACAACGCAAAAGAAGAAACCTTATGGTTCAAATAGTTTGTCAGAATTCATATGAAACATGGGAAAATAGTGCGTCTGATGTGCTACCGCTGACCATAAAAGCCAGTTCGTCGTCGATAAAGAGTATATTGGCGATGATGATGATGATGGATTTCCTGGGCCGGTTTGGGCTCCCTTCTTCCATAGAACGTCGCCTTGGCCCGACAACTGGTGCAGCGGAAGTGGAACTCGTCAAAGGCGAAGACTGGGGAGGAGGTAAACGACACCTCCGCTCAACGGACGAGAATTCTTCTTCCAGCCAACGGTTGTCCCCCTGTTCCGTACGCAAATTCTACGGAGCACGGAATGCTCCGATCTCAACCGTCCGTTTGATTCTGATCAAATGATATTTATTTCTTACCAAAGCCAGTGGACGGATGAGATTTAATACAAGAGTGGGATGGACGGTTCACGGAGGACTTAGCTTCGAGTTTCATGCGGCTCCTCGGGTTCCCTGCTCTCGTAGAATAGCTTGGCCGTCTCCCTTCCTCTTCGCATCCTTTCCTCCTCGCCTACGCTATGTACGTATGTGTCTCGTCTCTCTCACTTCTGCGTGTGTCTACAACGATCTCACCGTCTTCCATTCATCTGTCATGTTGGTGGTGCTTGTAAGTGACAAGACGAGAAAGATACCGGAGATATAAGGAGGAGCCATGGCGCCCAGTAGGCTCCGAATGGCACTAGGGGCCGTGAAGGACCAGACGAGCATCGGCCTGGCGAAAGTGAGCAACAGCACGACGATGTCGGAACTGGACGTGACCATCGTGAAGGCGACGCGGCACAACGAGTTCCCGGCCGAGGAGAAGCACGTACGGGAGATCCTGAGCCTGACGTGCTACTCCCGGGCCTACATCGGCGCGTGCGTGTCGTTGCTGTCGCGGCGGTTAGGCAAGACCCGGAGCTGGGCGGTGGCCCTCAAGACCCTCATCCTCATCCACCGCCTCCTCTCCGAGGGCGACCCGGCGTATGAGCAGGAGATCTTCTTCGCCACGCGCCGGGGCACGCGGATGCTCAACATGTCCGACTTCAGGGACACGTCGAGGTCCGACGCCTGGGACTTCTCCGCTTTCGTGAGGACGTACGCGCTCTACCTGGACGAGCGGCTGGACTACAGGATGCATGGCCGCCGCAAGCGGCGGGGCAGCAGGAGCAACATCTACAAGGAGGAGGAGGAGGAGAAGGCAGCTGCGGCATCGACCTCTAAGGCGACGCCTGTGAGGGAGATGAAGACCGAACGGATCTTTACGAGGACGCAGCAGCTTCAGCAACTTTTGGAACGCTTCCTCGCGTGCCGGCCTACAGGTGTGGCATAGCCATGGTGTAAGAGGAGGCCGATCAGTTTTGGGTTTCGTTCGACGGGCTAATGCGTTGCTCCTCGGTCAATATATACATGTAGGTGCAGCGAAACACAACCGCATCGTGGCCGTGGCGCTTTACCCGCTGGTGAAGGAGAGCTTCCAGATCTACTTGGATCTCGCCGACATTATGAGCATCTTCGTCGATCGCTTCATGGAGCTCCAAGTCCCCGATTGCATTCGGGTGCACGACATTTTCTCCCGCCTCTCCAAGCAATTCGACGAGCTCGAAGTCTTCTATGGCTGGTCCAAGTCCGCCGGCATCTGCCGCTCCTCCGAGTACCCCGAGGTCGAGCGCATCACGACCAAGAAGCTCGACATCATGGATGAGTTCATCCGCGACAAGGCCGCCCTGACCCACACCAAGCGGCAGCGCAGCCTCGAGGCGGACCGCGACGCATCCGACGACGCCAAACCTCCCGAGGAAGAGCCCGAACACAACATGAACGCTGTCGAGTCATCGCCCGAGCCGGAGGACGACACCGAAGATACGAAGGAGGAGCATGCGGTCGCCGAGGTTAAGACTGACGTCGCAGATGAGAAGCAAGAAGAGGAAGAAGCAGAAGCAGATTTGCTGAACTTGAAGGAAGACGCGATGACCAGCGAGGAACACGGGGACATGCTGGCACTGGCGCTGTTCGACGGCAACATGGCGGACGCAGCGCCTAAATGGGAGGCGTTCACGAACAACGACAACTCGTCGGACTGGGAGACGGCATTGGTCCAGACGTCGAGCAATCTGTCGGGCCAGAAAGCGTCTTTCGGCGGCGGCTTCGACATGATGCTGCTGGACGGAATGTACAACCAGGCGCAGGCCGCCGTGGGCCACGGACACTTGGGTAGCGGGAGTGGGAGTAGCGTCGTGGTCCATGCGCCTGCACCACAGCCAGTGCTGGCATTGCCGGCCCCGCTTGAAGGCGGCACGACCAGCGGTGGCCGGGATCCGTTCGCGGCGTCGTTGATGGTGCCACCGCCCTCGTACGTCCAGATGTCGGAGATGGAGAGGAAGCAGCATCTACTCGTGGAAGAGCAGCAGCTGTGGAAGCAGTACTCTAAGGATGGAATGCAAGGCCAGCTAGCGTTGGCCAAGCTGCAGCAGCAGTTTCCTCCTGCCGCTTATCCGACAGGTGCGTATGCTCGTATGTTCTGAAATAGTTTAAGATGATAAGTTAGCTGTATGATCTTTTCCTGCATGATGATGCGCGTAAGTTGTCGCAACCTTGTAATGGTGATCATAGGATGTGATAGTGCTTTCTCAGGTATACTTATGTTCACTATTAATGATCATACGTGGAACATATGTGAATCATCTTAATGCGTAGGGATATTTATGATGATACATACAGATCCTTTCGGGATTTGGCTTCGGATCCTTGGTGGATCCATCCTATTCGAATTGGATCCGGCAATGCCCTTACTTGCGGCAACTCAAGGCTTGACGTAATGACATCGGGGATGTAGACAGAACACCATCACCATCATCATCGTCGACATGATCCGGGTTCTTCATGCCCCACATGGGCTCGCATGCATGCATCACATACCATCCCGTTGGAGGATTAGGATGACCAGATTCCTCTTTTATTGAAATTACCAAATTAGGCTTCTCACGTGACCATCACGCCCTTCTTTTTATCTCTTCTTTTACAGCAATGATATGGGATGGAGATTAGAATCTATTCCTTCTGAAAAGGCCAACGGTGGTGATGCTGATAAGTAAGGTAGGGAGGGTAGTTTGGTCACATCAGGAAATGAAGCAATTATTAGACAGGAAGAGACTCGCGGCAACCATTGGAAGTGCTTCCCACAACTGTCCTTGAAATGTTTTCACCACCTATCGAAGGGGTTGACGATATCCCATCTAATTACCAATTTGAGATATCTTATGAATATTTATTTTAATCCGAAACTCGATACATGATAGTTATATTATAAAAGAAGAAAAAAAAATTATCCTACAAAAATATCACATCAGTAAAATTTAAATAAAAATTATTCTTGATACATAAGATATTTATCTAACCATCGACGATCAGTAGAGAGTCAATTATAAAAGATAAATATAAATCTAATTTTTTGAGGTAAATATTATTTTTCTACTTTATAGATCCACTTCAGAGCCTAATTTTCAGGTTATTTTTTTAACTTTAAAGGACTACATTAAGAGTACAAAAATATATTAAATCTCTATTTGTATCGAGTTTATACCATCCGATATTATGATTTTATTTAATTTTAAAATATAAAAATAAGTTTTATATTTTGGAACAAAAGAAAATGGTATGTATATATCAATTTATATTCTTTGATATCCTTATAAGATTTCTATAATTAATCACCAAAACAATAACTTCATAGAAAATAAACGAAGGTTCCTTCTAACATTGTTAAAACTATGCATCGAGAGAGAAGAGAAGGTGCATAATGGGTGGAGACTGCTCGAGGGATTTTTGTGGCATAAACTATAGTCAACATAGATTCGGTGGTAGATAAGGATAAGACGAAGCATGCGCCTCGGTCATGTCACGATCTTAGATTAATATCGTTGACAAGAGAAGAGCCCTTTAATATAGTCTTGACTTAGTTTGGTTAAACTAATCATGAGAGAATGGTGGGACTTGAGGGCTGTGCTAAGATGGATGATAGGGTATATTTTAGATCTCGACCATGTCATGTCATGCCCCTATCGAGTCAACATGAGGGTTGACTTTTCACGTCGAACCGAAGCCTATACAGAGAGGCACTCCCTCGGCAAGTCCCGTCCTAGAAAGCTTGGGATGGCGCTGCATGGCGTCGCTCCCCGCATACCGGGCGACGGCCGCACGAAGGTAACATCTCGTCACTCGGGGTTCGACCATCGCGTTAGGTCGACCGATCCTTGAGCAGTAGTATTAAAACCCCTGGTCGGCATCTGACTAGAGGCGGCAAAAGGAAGAGAGAAAAAAGACAACGACTAATTTAATCTACGGGGGGCCAAAGTCGGGAACCCCCTAACGAGGGCCTTTGTGCAGGAGCTCGGCTACCCCCAAAGACGGCGTATAGCATCCTGATCGAGAGATATGCTCCCGGAAGACGGCGTCAGCTTCCTGACCGAGAGACGTGCTCCCGGAAAATAGCGTCAACATCGTGACCCCTGATCCAATTAGCTCCAGCGCTTCTCCCGACAAACCGAGAACGTCAGACATCGACCTATGGATCAAGTCGTGCTGATTCCTTAGCCACGGCGCATCAGTTCACCAACAAATGAAGAGTAAGGCTTTCTCTAGACTTGGTTTAGTTAAACTAGATCATGAAATTGTGATCGTTCTGAGTTAAGTAGATTTCATTTTGAGGCTTTCTCTAGACTTTCATTACTCCAACAGCTTGCTCTAGTTATGCTGATTGATTGATAACAGTCAAGATCTCCCGTGATAACAATCTCAACAATAGCCAATATCTCCCCAACTACATGATGAGATATCATAAATATGTTAAGGAAAATCCTTGTCTGTTGAGGAAAATTCTCCCTTTAAATCCTTCTCGGCTCCTTCTCCTACAGCCTTGTAGACTGCGACTCTATCTCAGTCACTCCCCCCTCTGTCGCTGCTCCCGCCGTGACCGCACCTAGCGTCGCCATCAGGTGCAGTGTTTTTCCTTAGTGAAAGGCGGAAGCAACAATGACATCTTCCCCCGTCGAGCTCTTATCGTTGCAACGTTTTCTACGGACATCCTCCAGGATCGTTGCGTCGACCTCCTTCGAAGCTGAACAAGGGCCACCATGCCGTGCCTTCCTCTGCCTCTTCCTGCAGAAGCAGAGCCGACACAGCCTTGCAATTGCTCCCCGCCCAGCGACCTCTCCTCCTCGTTCCTGCATCTCGCTCGAGCGAGAAGTGCCGCTGCTGCCGTCCTTGCCGCAGAAGCCCTCTCTGCCGCAGCAGCAATATACGCACATGATTCACTAGTGTCATTTGAAGAATTCTATGACAAGTTGACTGACTATGAGATATATCTCAAGCGTGAGAACAAGTTGCCAGGACCATCCATTATAGCTCAAGTTAATCAACAATCTAAGAAGAAGAGCAACCTGTACAACAAATCTATCAACAAAGGTTTGGCCAGCATGCCTACACTTGTGGGCTCTAAACAAACCTCCCCTCCTTAACATTTCAATTACAACCATCAAGGCAGCTACTTTAATTATCCTCAACCCTGGTATCCTGATCACATAAATCAATAAAGAGTTGTCTGCCAACTATGTGACAAAGTTGGCCACTCTGCAAAAGTCTATAGAACTCGACCCAGACTTCCTCCTCTGTCGCATTGGCCTCAAGCAAATCTTACAGCTACTCCGACTATTGGTCATCAAAATTGGATTGTGGACTCTGGCGTATCTCATCACATCACCTCTGATTTACAAAACTTGTCTATCCACAATGATTATGGCGGAAACGAAGACATCATCATCGGTGATAGTAACAGACTCCCCATTACTCATACTGGTTCCACAATGCTTAATTCATATAGCATTTCATTTACGCTAGATGATGTTTTGTGTGCACCCTATATCAAACGAAACCTCATTTTTATTTCTCAATTCTGCAAACAAAATCATACCTCAATTGAATTCTTTTCTAACTCCTTTCTTGTCAAGGATTTGAGCACGGGGGTACCCTTGGTCCGAGGCCAGAGTAAAGACAATATTTATGAGTGATTGTTAGTTTCACAAATCACCCAACCCACTGCCTACTCTTCGGTCGCAGCTCCAACTGATGTGTGGCATCATCGTCTTGGTCATCCCTCAACTTTTATTCAGTAAAAATTGCTTTCCCGTTATTCTCTTCCTACGCTTACAACCAATAACATCATAACTCATTATGATGCTTGTTTAAGTAATAAAAGTCATATACTTCCCTTTGGAAAATCCTCCATATCTTGCTCTAAACCCCTTGGTTATTTACACTTATGTTCGGGGCCCCGCTCCAATCACTTCTTTTGACAAATTCAGATTTTATATTATTTTTGTAGACTATTTCACTAAATACATATGGTTATACCCTCTTCACCATAAGTCTGAAGTTTCAACAATCTTTACCAACTTTCGAAGATTGGTCGAGAACTTTTTTCAGTCTAAAATTAAAACTATTTACTACGATGGTGGCAGTGAATATCAAGCCCTCACATCTTGCCTATCGGCTTGTGGTATACAACACCTCAAGTCACCTCCACACACTCCTCAACCCGTCAGCTCTGCTGAACGCAAACATTGACATATAGTTGAAACTGGTCTCACACTCCTACACCAAGCCTCTATGCCACCAACTTTTTGGACTGCAGCATTTCAAGCTGCCATCTACCTCATTAATCGTATGCTCACTCTTGTCCTTAAGAATGAGTCACCATTTGAAAAATTATTTCACAAATCCCCAAACCTTCAAAAATTCAAAGTGTTTGGATGTTTATGTTATCCATGGCTCCGTCCCTATGCCTTACATAAGTTAACATCAAAATCTAAACCTTGCATTTTCATTGGATACTCCCTTGACCATAATGCTTTTCGATGCTATGAACCCCAATCTCAAAAAGTCTTTACGTCCCATCATGTTATTGCCTTTTCATTTCACAACCCCGAGTCTCCTACTGTGCGACCTACTCCTTCACATATACATCATTGGAGTACGCCATCAATCCCATCAACCGAGTCTCCCATAATATCATCCAATCCTTCTCCTCAGGATCCACACTCTCTCCTCCCGTTGCAATAGCTCCTCACCCCCTCCATTGTACCTCTCTCTTCTTTACAAGGTTCTCCTACGACTGAAGGCATTCCCTCGGAATCACATTCACTACCTTTATCCTCTTCTGGGACCAATGACACTAAAGTCTCTCAGCCTATCCTAATCTGTGTCCCTCCACCGCCCATACCTACAACACCCTCTATAGCCCCTGGACATCTAATGACAATATGCTCCAAAAGTGGTGTCTTTAAACCATCATAAATCATTGACTTACATACCATCACAACATCCTCGTTAGAGACCACTGAACCTACCACAATTACTCAAGCCCAAAAATCTCCATACTGGGGTAAAGCCATGTGTGAAGAATATGATGCACTCCTCTATAATTCTACATGGACCCTTGTACCCTCTCATCCCACACAAAATATTATCG